TGAGCTGAGCAGAGGAAAGCGAAAATGTATTCCTCCAACACTGTTTTAGTTTCGTGGATTTTCTTCAGGTCGTCTTTCCTTCACGGAGTTGGTGGAGCTGTGTAGTAGACTAAATGCAGATTTGCAAATTCCGGGAGTTAGCGATGCGACGGTGATGCAGGTAAGTTTGACTGTTGATAGTTTCGTGGCGCGCGACATCATTAGAGTTCTGTAGTGTCTGAGGAAGTTCGATGTGGACGGTGATGAGATGCTCGACCAGAAGGAGTTTGTGAACCTCTACTTTCGGTTGTTGCTAAAAGTGAAGTGAGAAGAGATTTTCCAGGATGTGACGGAGGTGAGGTATGGTGGAATTTCAGGGCACAGTACGCACCGTTGAAGGTTCGCAGAGAGTTCTTCCTGGACAAGAAACCAGGTCGGTGTTTACTGTGATTACGGGGAAATATGCACATGGTCAACTGCACGTGTTGGTGATGACAATGTGGAATTCTGAGAGAGTTTTGAGAGGTTATTGTTGGTTTCTGTACACTTCTACTCGGATTTGTCTATGACTTGTTGTAATCAGTGAGGAAACTGCTGAGCTCAGTTGAAGAAAGCAATAGTATATTCCAAAACCGAATTACGGTATTGATTATAATGATTATCACTACAGGCCGTCCTGATGCGCATTATCACGTTCGAGAGACTTTGGGTCAGGGCACCTTCGGGGTAGCAAAACGTGTTGTGGATAAGAAGACAAAGGAAGCGAGAGTAAGGGTGTGGATGTAGCAGGGGAGATATGCTCATGCCCGTGTATTGGTGACAATATGTGAATCTGAGAAGCTTGGTTTTGTATACTTGTACCAGAATTTGTATATAAACTTGTATAATGAGTGAGGAAGCAGGGCTGAGGGAAGCGCGAATATATTCCTCTAACACTGTGGTTGATGGTTGTGGCTGTAGGTGATGAAAGTGATTAATAAGAAGAGTAGTCATATGGATCCGCAGGAGTTGGAGCAAGAGATAAAGAATATGAAGAAGATGGACCATCCGCATATATTGAAGATGTTCGAGTGAGTTTGTGGTAGAAAAGGTTCTACCGGGATTTGAACCCAGATCGCCAGATTCAGAGTCTGGAGTGCTAACCGTTACACCATAGAACCAGTTGTGTGTGATGGAGTCGATTTTCATACTATACTATTTAATATACTTTAAAGATTCAACCACAGGTATTTCGAGGACTACAACAACGTATACCTCATACTCGAGTTGTGTGAAGGTGGCGAGCTGATGAAAGTAAAGTTTTGTTGGATACCTCAGATTCATCTCGACATCTCAGGTGATAGAAGACACATACACCAAGAGTAGAGGCAAGAAGCGTTTGACTGAAGGATGGATTGCCGGCCTGTAGGAGGGGGAAACCGCTCCCCCCGGGATCTTGTGTGTTTTCAGATACGCGCAGGTTTTGGAGGCCGTCTCGTATTGCCATAGCCATGGTTTGATCCACAAAGACATCAAAGCGGAGAATATCATGCTACTCAACAAAGATAAGACTACCAAGAGTAGTTGTACCATCATTATTGATTTGCTCTAGTCATTAACTTCAGATCCATTCGATGCCCCTCCTCATGTGGTGTTGATCGACTTTGGTCTAGCTGAGGCCTTCGACCCTGACCGTCCCTTCGTCTCTCGACATGTTGCAGGGACGCCTTATACGATGGCCCCCGAGGTGGGTGGGGCTCCCCTGTCTGCTGTAATGTGTTGTCTATCAGGTTTGGAATGCTACGCTGAGTCGTAGCAACACCTTTGGTTTGAAGTGCGATGTTTACAGCCTCGGTTGTGTTCTTTTCCACCTTTTCTGTGGTGAAGTGAGTCGGCTGGGTTCTTCTATGGGAAGGCTCGTGTACTCAGCCTCCCATCATCGCGCGATCGATGAAGGCGCAAGATTGGTTGAAGGCGATAAGTGTTGGTCCCGACTGGAGATTACTGAAGCACGCTACCCCACATGCAATACAGCTCGTGAAGAAGATGATGACGTAGGTGTGGTGGAATTCGCTGTCGAAGACATCATGGCCAGATACTCGGATCGTCTACGTCCAACTTGTGCGCAGTGTTTGACTAGCCCTTGGTTTGATGTCGCGCCGAGTGAAAACGTCCGAGAACTTGGAGACCATGTCATGCAGGTGTGTTGCCTGTGTTGCTGTCAGTTGGTGAAGGTCTTCCTCGCAGGGGTTGGTTGATTACTCCCGTCGGAGTGTGTTCGAACGAGCGGTTCTGTTGGAGATCGCGACGCAGGTAGCGCGGCGCACAGCGAAGATTTATCCCCTACGTGAAGATTCTCTCAGGTTCATGCTGTGAGTGTTCGTGAAATCAATGGTATATTCCGCATGCTTGACCACGAGAAGCAGGGCATCATATCCAAGCAAACTTGTGTGACCGGTCTTGTGAAGTGAGCCTCGCCGCCTCTCCCCCCGCACTAGCGGCGAGATGTTCCATCAGGCTTGGCATCCCCCAGCGTACGGCCGCGCGCGCCGTAGAGGCTATGGACTTGGACGGCGACGGGAGGTGAGCTCCTACGACTGCTCAGCTTGTCAAGGCCTGTCAGGATTGACTACACTGAGCTCATTGCTGGCATTCTCTGCTTATATGACACTCACCT